ACGTCTCCTTGTATTTTATATTATACTATTATCACAACACTTCATAAATAGTATACAGAAGTTTTGACAAAATATTAGTCCTAATTTTCATTTTATGAAACTAATCATTAAAAGCAGACAATCAGTGTTCAAGCACACTATTAATCATATGCTGTACGAGGTAGGATTCAAAAGTTCCAGACTGAGTCTATAATGTAAAAAATATTATGAATTAAATTGTAAAAACACACCCTCCTTCGAAATAAGACTCTTATGCAAAAACACACTTTTGCCAGCGCCTGTAAAGTTCATCAAAGCATGCCTAGAATCCATTCTAGGGCATGTCCTTTAATTCAGCCTGCAATGCACATTTAATTTCATCTGAAGATTGAAATTAACGAACCTGCAAGCATCTTGCCAGTTCAGGAAACAGAAAGAAATTGCAAGGTGCGAGATCAGTCGAGTAAGGAAGATGAGGCAAAACAGTTGTTTATGTTTTCGCAAGAAAGTCATTGACGAGTAGGGATCGGTGAGCAGAAGCGTTGTCATGCTACAGCACCGATGACTGCTCAGCCCACATTTTTGGCCTCTTCTTCAGGATTGACTCACACAAACGACACAAGATTTTGATGTAGAGTTCTTTGTTCACAATGCGTCCTTCAGGGATAAATTCCAGATGCACAATTCCCTGGATATCAAAGAATACCTCTAACATGATCTTTCCTTTAGAGCGATCTTGGGGGAATTTCTGCTTCCGTGGAGATTGTTGTGATTTCCACGTTGCCAATACTCTCTTGGTTTGTAGGTCATAAAAAAAAAAACACCATCTCTTGTCTCCAGTAACAATTCTACCAAGTAAGGTTGGATCTTTGTCAACAGCTGAGATTAAGTCTCCCATTTCCATTCGAATTCCCTTTTGGTCTATTAACCCTTTTGGTCCCTTTTATTATTCCCTTTTGGTCTATGTTTAACATATGGGGAACGATGACACACCCTATACATGCTAAGATCCTTAGTCAGTATCCGCTGACATCTGGCTTCTGATATCCCAACCAATTCTGCTATTTGGCAAATTGTTTGCTGCCTGTTCGCACGTATACCTCCGCAGGCACCTTTTTGATGTTTTCATTGGTGAGCAAAGTCATGCCACGGCCACAGCATTTGTCATCTTAGGCCCTTTCCTTGCCTTCTACGAAATGACAATGCCACTGAAAAGCTTGCCTTCTCGATAATGCTTCACTTCCGTACGCACGTTTCAACATTTCGAAAGTCTCCGTAGCACTCTTTCCCAAGCGAACACAAAATTTGATGTTGATGCTCTGTTCAACTGATGCCATTTCTTTCTATCACCAATTACTAACTGCACCTGCCTACAAAAACGCTATTGCGAGCTTTTGACCACGTGATTTTGGACAAACTACTTTTAGAAAAGGGGGAGAACATAGTAACACAAAAACGTACTCGTAGTCGCACTACTGCACAAAATTTTTACATTATAGACTCAGTACGGGAATTTTTGAATCCTACAATGTATATTATCTACCAATTTGTAGGTACTAACACTGGAAAAATATCCCATAAAAATTTTCAATTTTTTCATGCATTTAATAGCTGAAATTTTGTTGCATTAAAAATTTCTCTGCATAAAATTTCATTTGAAAAACCATATGGATAACAGAAAATCTTATGCAATAAGTTTTATTAAGTAACAATCTTCTATAGACAGAAATTTATTAATTAACAAAAAATATAATTTGAAAATCAGTAGACATAACTGCTCTCCCTTCAGAACTTTTAAAACAGTATTCCAATAAATGACAACAACCGCAATGAATATAAACTGCAGAATGCAGGCATCTTGTTTACATTTTACTGAGAAAACATTTTAACAAAATTCAGTCAATGAACAATTATATTTTGTTACTTTAAAATAGAAAATTCAAGGTTACTTCAGACTCCTGACTTGCTTCATAACCATAGGAATGAAAGATGCAACACACACTTTGAATCACCTATTTTTTTTTCTATTCCATTTTCAATTAGCATGTTTTGCCTCATCAAAAATGCACACATGAAAGCTATCATGAACAACAGAATCAAGTAAAGTAGATAAAATATGTGCTGAGGGGTGATAATGACTGGCATTATAATCACAAATAATAAGAGTGGCCTTGAGGAGTGGCAACAGCCTTGAAATTCTTATTTTAAAGAAACAGATTACAACAAAGTATAAAAGCCTAATTGTTAGTGTCTTCTTGGTCTTATTTTCAGAATTTTCATTACACTGAAGAAGGGATAGCATAAAAATCATAAAAAACATAATTTCATTATCTCATAAAATATACTGATTGTGATGTATATAAAAGGTTTTTCTTCATTTGCCTCAGGAAACAATTATTTAGACAAAAAAGATTATTAAATAATGCAATGATATATTTATGTGGAGTGGAAATTTAAATTTTTACAAACATAAAATAACATAGAACTATATTACACACCATTTGTAACATGAAAAGTTCCATTAGAATAAAATTTTATGCAGAAAATATTCATTATTAACTACAAATACTGGGTGTTTAAACATGATTCCATTTTTTTTTTTTCCTATTAGATATCACTAAAGAACTTCTTGTATGTAACTCAACATAGGTGTGCTTGTATTTGAAAAGTATGAGAGTTTTAGTATGTGACATCCATTTAAACACTAAACAATAATTATGTTTATCTCATTAAAAATACCAAATTTTATGCGAAAAAAGAAAGAGCATTGGCAGGAAACTTCATTTCTTTGTTTTCTTGCAAAGAAAACTGCAGCAGGAACAAATCATAGGTAGCTGGAAATTTACAGTCAACATGCTCCATCAAAAACTACAATGGTTCTGGCAGTTTAAAAATAATGATTCTGATATGCATGAGAAACCACATGGAAAATGGCCCAAAACTTCAAAGGTAACAATTTGAGTTAGACAATCAATGTTGAACATTCCTAATAACAATTAATCAATTTTACTGAAGCATCAAAGCAAAACATCCAGATATTTCAAAAGAAATAACAAGGCTATTTTCCAACAAGATAATATTTATCCAAAAGTTTCAAGACCAGTCAAGGAAACTAAAATAATTTTGTTGAGATGTGTTGTGCTACCTGCCATATTAACCAAATATTGCTCATTCACCATTTATTTCAATATAAACAAAGTAGCCTTTCTTGAAATTGCCACAGTTCTTATGATTGGCTTGTGATTGTTTCGAAACAAGCAGACTTCTTTTGTTATGGAATCTGTCTGTTGCCTAAAAGATGGGAAAATGTTGTAGTTTCTGATGAAAATAATTTGAATAATTGAAAAACTTTTTATTTTATTTTGAAAATAAACCTTTGTCTTTTATTTACACAAAAAAGGGCAGAGTCATATTTGTACACCTAATAATATCAACAATTTTGAGAAATAAAATGTATCATACTAAAAACATACCATCAACATTTCCATTTTTAAGACTACCATTTTCAAATCCTGAATCTGCAGCATCACCCATATCATGAGATGTTTTTTCTAGTTGCAGCTTTTGAGCAAAATCATCAGCAAGTCCACTATCAACCATAGAACAATCTATGTCTTTGCTTGGAGTCTCTGCATGGCCAAGCGCTGTTTTTAATTGATTTATACGCTACAGAACAAAAATTTAAATAAACATCATTAAAATACTTTCACACAGGGGTAACTGAGAAAAAATAACTTGTGTGGCAATAAAATCCTTTAACAAATAGATAATTTATGTTTTTACAATTATTGCTTTTCAGATGTTTCTTCTGTAATATGAAATTTTATAAAATTACTCCATATTTGTGTTAGACAAAGTTTTACTAAGAAGAGCCAGTAATACCATATGAGAAGTAAATTATTTACTCATCCAAGTCAGATAAAACATACACAGTTGATTTAGCTGTTTATCTTATTTCAAATTTTCGATGGAAAAAAATCGGCTCCTCCTAATGATTTACAGCAGCCCCCTTCCCCACAAAATCTTTCAATGACGATTTTTTTGGTGAGCATGTTCATCTGGTAAAAGGTGTAAAATGCATAACAGAACCTTTTTGGAAGAAAAATTACAAAATGTTCCTCCCTAGGTCAACAGTGTAAAGTTTAAGGACAATGCAAACTAGGACTTTATTCCTGGCATCAACTGGCTTTTATTCCAGTTTTGCTGCTTTTTTTAATCATATTTTTATGAAAGTTTTCTTTTATATGGATATATATCAGAAACAAATAAATAAACCTATAGAGAAAAGAAACATGCCATGTAAAGTAGAAACTTTAGAAAAAAATAGGAAGAGATTAGCCCAAGATTAGCAGAGATTTTATATACAGTTTTATTTTGAATTTGCACCAATCACCAATCTAAAGCTTTTTTGTTATAATTATTATTTACTATATATGAACAAATGACTGATTAAATTGCAGATTAATAGACAGACAATATAAGTAAACAAAAAGGAATCATGTACACCATAATTGATTTATCTCTCAAATATAAAATGTTCAAAAATGAGAGAAAAAAAAAAAAAAAAAAGTATGAGCCTTTCTAAAACATAAAAATGTATCATCTAATCTTAAAACAAACATTTCTATTAGAAATTTCATAAAATTTTTTGGACAGTATAATATCTATACAAGGTGTATAAGTTGAAGTTTATCTTGTCCTTTATCTGTTTAATTTCTCTAGGTCTCTAATTCTCTTCTTTCCATCATCTTCTTAATACCGTGGCTGACTAATGTGACTGGTAAAACTCAGGGATAAGTAGAAGGGCTAGGTCATTCCTTTGTTCGACTCGTCGCCGACGCGAGTCTCATGGAGGAGGTGAACTGGAAGTAATCTGACGTGTCTGTGTTGCACCTGCTCTGATTTCGCGCATTTAAAATTGTAGTTTCATTCAGTTGCGAGACGATTTTCTGGAGGTCGCAATCCAGATTAATTTTAATCATACATATTTGTTTTCTAATAATGCAAATATTTCATAATTTGTGTGTATATATATATATATATATAGTTTTAGTCAGTTTTTCCTTTTAAATTCTATATTTAAAGTATCCTTTATGTAATATGGCTTCTTGTGCTGTAGCAACGTGCCCGTAAACACTTATAGAAATACGAAAGGAAGAGATATTGTATTTCATGCTTTCCCAAAGGACAATTTGCTTTTGTTGAAAGAATGGATACATAAATGTCAAAGACAGGATTCTATTAATGTGAAAAACGCAAGAATTTGCGATGAACATTTTCTGTGCAGTGATTATGAAGATGACATGAGAAATCGCTTGCTTGGATTGCTGCAAAAGAAACTGTTGAAATGCAATAGTGACGAAAGTAAATTTATCGTGTGCAGTAAACGAAATAACACCAAGACATCAAGAGACTTTTGAAAGACTACACGAATTAAGTCCAAAGAAAATTTATTTTAAGAACGAAATTGAAGCTGACAATAATAAATCAAATGTGAATAATTTTGAAATTAAAACTCACAAGTGACAATGCCCTAATGACAATATCCCTGAATGCCCTAAGTGTAAAGATAAACAAGAATGTATTGATAATTTGAAGAACAAAATAATATCCTTAGAAAATTGTAATAAAATTGAAAATAGGAGAAAGAAAATTTTATAGAATGTTTGCTCAGCGACAAAGAAGGTGGACGACATCTAGAAAGAAATTGTAACGGAAATTCAGAAATGAAAATCCCAAACAGCGAAATTTAGGAAAAACAACACAGATCGGAGAATTTGGAAAACGTCTAAAGATATTTTTACAAAGATGCAGATTCATTGCTAGAAAAGAAGGAAAAAATCAGGTGGACTAGTGAAGATATTTCACGTTGCATTCATAAAAGCTCTGTAGAACACGTTTCTTAAATAGAAAATGCATATGCTTTTTCCCAAAGAAAAGCAACCCAAAAGGCAAAAAAGTGGATTGATTCGAATGTGGTAGCCAATAAATAATATTTCAACAACTTGTAGTTGCATTGTGACTGTACAAGTAAGCATATATAATATGTTTTGATTTGAAATATTTCTAGATGACATTTTAGAAGTTAATAGCGTAAAGCATATTTCAAATGAGAACTAATTTTGTTAAGTTATTGTTAAAGTTATTTTTATTGTATCCTGTGTTATTATTGATTCGATTTTGTGCTAGCTTAGCATTCTAGATAAAATATAATAGTATAACATTAAAGTAATTGGCATAAGAAAACCTGCCTCCTTAACCCCCACTTTTGAAAAATTAATAATGTTTTTTAGGTACTACTGTGAAGTAAAGTTGTTTTGTCTAAATTAAGATAACAATCTTGCATGCATTTATTTAAATGTAATATTGATGTAAGCCTAAGTTACAAAATTATTAAAAAAATATATGTTATTATATTGAATCGGGAGAAAAATATGCCAATGTAAAATTTACAATTAGGCTGAAACTCAAACTTAGATTAGCAGAAATTTTGAAAACTATGCCAATTTAAGGTTGTTTTTTGATTAATTTTAAATAGCTGTTATTATAGTTATCTTAGAAGCAGTAGTACAGTTCTCTTAGTTAACATGCAGATAAAGAAATGATTAGAAATAAACAGGCATTTAAAGAAAAAATCTTTGCAAATTAAAAAAAAAAAAAAAAAAAGGAACTTTATGCTAAGAGTAGCGCATTTTATCTGTTATTTTAAAATTGAGTAAGTACTATTAAATTTTTTAATGTTCAGTGTAAAATGCATACTGCAGTAACATTGTCTCTTCTAAATTATAGCTATCTTTCACACACAGCTCATTTTAAACGCTGGTTTTTCAGATTTAAAACGCTAATTTCTATGTTGTCAATTGCATCTCCGCGCTCAGTGTCATCATGGCTACGTCATCACTCCCAACTGCCTGTTTCAGGGGGAAAAGCTCTATGAGCTAGCCCTTCTCTTTTAAGTCCTGGGTAAAACTGATGATAGAAGAAACCAAAAATAAATAATAATAATAGATCTTAATTTATCAAAATTTACATCTTGCTAATTTCATTTCTGAAAAACCATTTATTAATCCCAAGACATTCTCCATTTTCTCAGCCATCTGAACTTCAGTGCATAGTAGGAATAAGCTTTAGTGAAATTAAATGCAGAGCAGATTAAACTCTCTTATGCATTTCTTGTTAAATTCATTTAATTTTTTTAGGTACCTGTGAGTAAAGTTGTTTTGTCTAAATTAGGATAACAACAATCTTTCATGCATTTATTTAAATGTAATATTGATGTTAAGTTACAAAATTATTAAAAAAAATATATGCTATTATATTGAATCGGGAGAAAAATATGCCGATGTAAAATTTACAATTACGCTGAAACTTAAACTTAGATTAGCAGAAATGTTGAAAACTATGTTAATTTAAGGTTGCTTCTTGATTAATTTGAAATAGTTGTTATTATAATTATCTTAGAAGCAGTAGTATAGTTCTCTTAGTTAACATGCAGATAAAAAAAAAAGATTAGAAATAAGCAAGCATTTAAAAGGAAAAAAAAATCTCTGCAAATTAAAAAAAAAAAAAAAAAAAAGGGGGGGGGGACTTTATGCTAAGAGTAGTGCATTTTATCTGTTATTTTTAAATTGAGTTAGTACTATTAAATTTTTTAATGTTCAGTGTAAAATGCATACTGCAGTAACATTGTCTCTTCTAAATTATAGCTATCTTTCACACACAGCTCATTTTAAACGCTGGTTTTTCAGATTTAAAATGCTAATTTCTATGTTGTCAATTGCATCTCCGCGCTCAGTGTCATCATGGCTACGTCATCACTCCCAACTGCCTGTTTCAGGGGGAAAAGCTCTATGAGCTAGCCCTTCTCTTTTAAGTCCTGGGTAAAACTGATGATAGAAGAAACCAAAAATAAATAATAAAAATAGATCTTAATTTATCAAAATTTACATCTTGCTAATTTCATTTCTGAAAAACCATTTATTAATCCTAAGACATTCTCCATTTTCTCAGCCATCTGAACTTCAGTGCATAGTAGGAATAAGGTTTAGTGAAATTAAATGCAGAGCAGATTAAACTCTCTTATGCATTTCTTGTTAAATTCATTTAACCTACAGGCCACTAGTTACATAGCTGAGTAAGACTAGAATGAAATGGATTGGATTATTTGGGTTACAGCAAACACAAGAGCTATCTGCAATCTGCAGAAGGGCTATCTAAGAGAAGTGATATTTTTGGGTGAACTCTCTAAGGGAAGCAGGTTTATATCAATGCTACACATAGGGAAAATATGAAATCTCCCAAGCAGTCAGCCCATTCACCAGAAATTGAAGGCTGAGTTAAAATTTGCAGAGAATTCTTAATTGCATCCCAGGTTTGATTCCCAAGAACAGAAATATTTGAATAGATCAATGTTTGTTCTCATATGAACATATTTTTTCTAAAAGAGAACATTTTTAAGTATTTCTCTTGTGGAAATCTAAACCTTGAAAGCAGACTGAATGACAATTTTCAAATTTTGCCACAAGAGGCGAAACGAGAAAAAAATTATTTTAATTTGTTTAGTATATGATATAGAGCAGCGGTTCTCAACCTTTTTGTGTACCATCTAAATAAAAATTGAAAATCTTTAGTACCACTACGACAAAATACTACTACCACCACCACTC